TCAAACGTTCGATACATTGTTTTGGGACACCCTGTAGTTTTTGGGTTATCATATTTATCACATTTAGGTTTACGGGAAGTGCCTTCACCAAAGCAAAGCTCTGTCAAATCTAGGCCATCCATAACGGAAAAGAGCACAGAAGTGATCAAAAGTCTGTAACATGAGCATTTTTCATACTGGCCCTGATAAAAGAGTATTTAGCTCTGATGATTCCAGCCCATATGGGAGAACATGGTCCTATTCCTCCACCAGGACATCTTCACGATGCCGAAGTATCCAAGAAGAAATCAACTTCTGGCAAGAGGGGACCGCCCTCGGCTAGGCCACCAGGTTATGGTCCACCAGCAATTTCTCCCTCAGCTTTCTTCCGCTCGAAACGACAGAAGAGAAGGGGGAGAAGAGTGCGACCTCTAAGGATGCGCCATATGGTTAAACAATGAATTTGTGCATCGCTTGAAAAAATATATTTTTTAGCGCTGAATCTTTTGATTTAGGCACCCACCATACTTGATCCTCTTGATCTTCTTAATCCACTTGATTCGCTTGTTCCGCTTCGTGCAAGCCGTGCATTACGAATCTGTCATTTGGCGTCGCGTACACTAAAATTGCGCAAACATACAGCATTCCATTTACCTACGCGGCGCCAAATGACAAACTGCTAAGTGCGTTTTGCATGAAGCGGAAGAGGATCAAGTATGGCGGGTGCCTTAGAGTTGTTGTATATACGTATGTGTAAGGTGATGAAATAACGGGCAATCTTTGTATGTTTATGTCTCATCTGAACAGAGAGCTTCGAATAGATCTAATGCTCTATTCTCGTTTAGGATCCTCGTTCTATTGTTGCCATTGTTTTCTGTGTAAAAAACGTGTTGGTCTCAACTGTCCAAAAACAGCTTTTTACTTGATTCATCATCAGTCTCTCAAGCTTCTTTCTGTTCGTACATATCCCCATCTGATTGAATAAATGTGTTGATGTTGCAGTGGAAAGTGAACTAGACTGGAGAAAAATTCAACATCCGTGAACACATTCCAACTATTATGACTGCATCCAAACGGCTTTCACGTTTTTGCGCAACAGTGGTCTGTAGTCAACAGTCTTCTGCGCACCTTGAAGGCAGCTCTCACAAGTTTGGGCTCCAGGATCTTGGATGGTGGCTCTTCCGACCTTTAGAGCCCCACGGGCTCAGATTTGTGTGGAATGTTTAAAAATCCTTCTGAAAACATGCAGAAGCAACACAGGCAAGTTGTGCCTTTATCACTTAAAAAGCAAAATATATTTGGTGATATGGCCATCTGATGCGTTTTATGGAACAAAATGCTTTTAGAAACTCTGATCTCATTATTATGGTCTGAGCACTCACCAAAAGAAGCGCAAAGTTGGCCGCAGCGGTAGAGATCAGACCGGCATCTTTAGTATTAGGTTGGCTAATAACAAGTTCGGTTTGACAAGCAATTTCGAAATTTTATAACAATTCGAGTAGCAATTATT